AGTCGGGTCAAATTAATACTAACACTAAGTTAGTGGGTTTATTATGAGTTAGGAGTACAAGAGGATTCCTTAAAACCAACAATAGTGATGTTTCTTTTTTTTTTTTAGTGTGCAAAATCACCCCCTTAATGAACTGGCTCACTAGCCTGAACATTATTATAGATTATTATAAAGTGCAAGAAGCCCAGATTTCCTTGGTATACTTTCCTTTACAGCCTTTAGCTATCTGTAATTATATTTTTTGTTTTTCCCACACAGTATTTTCTCACCTACTTTGTATCATTAAAAAGGTCGCCAATGCAGTCAGTGCTCTGGCCAAATCTGTCTATGAGAAGATGTTCTTATGGATGGTCATTCGGATCAATGAGATGTTGGACACAAAGCAGCCGAGGCAGTTCTTCATCGGCGTGTTGGACATCGCTGGATTTGAGATATTTGATGTAAGTTTCGACTCTCGCAGTCAAATACACTCGCTTCCCTATTTGTTGAATTCTGGGTTCTTGTTGTAGTTCAACAGCATGGAGCAGCTCTGCATTAACTTCACCAACGAGAAGCTGCAACAGTATTTCAACCATCACATGTTCGTGCTGGAACAAGAAGAATACAAAAAGGAGGGAATCGACTGGGAGTTTATTGACTTTGGTATGGACCTGGCAGCCTGCATTGAGCTCATTGAAAAGGTGGGATAAACATTCTGATATAAATGCATCAGATCTCATTTTGGACACCGTATCTCATGTGTTTCCATTATGTATTCAACAGCCAATGGGCATCTTCTCCATCCTTGAAGAGGAGTGCATGTTCCCCAAGGCCTCAGATGCTTCTTTTAAGAACAAACTCTATGACCAGCATCTTGGCAAAACAAGTGCTTTCCAGAAACCAAAGGTTGTCAAAGGCAAACCTGAGGCGCACTTTTCCTTGGTGCACTATGCCGGCACCGTGGATTACAACATTGGCGGCTGGTTGGAGAAGAACAAAGACCCACTGAACGAGTCGGTGGTGCAGCTGTACCAGAAGTCATCAATGAAACTGTTGTCGTACTTGTATGCCTCTTTTTCCAGTGCAGAAGCAGGTGCATTATATCTGCTCCACACACAGAAATAAACTTCCTGAATCTGAAAATCAGTGGGAACTTCAAACCTCAGACATGCAAACTAATATTTCTGTTCCTTCTTCGCAGAATCAGGTGGTGATGCTGGAGGAGGCAAAGGTGGAAAGAAGGGAGGAAAGAAGAAGGGAGGCTCATTTCAGACAGTATCTGCTGTTTTCAGGGTACAGAAGTGATCTGTGGAAAGTTAACTTTCACTGTTTTGATTTTTAGGGGTGATGATCCTCCAGTAAGCAACACAATTTGAATACTAATGACTTGTTGGGTTGGTCTTAGAGAAATTTGTGTCCATAATCGTGGCAAAGCCTCCTCGTGTTTACTTCGGTTGTTGTTTTTGAAGTTGTTGGTCTAATGGATGGGATATCCCTAACTTTTGTTTTCAGTAAAACCAAAAAAATAAAAACTGCTCATTGATCAAATCTGCCTAAAAAGATTTATGTTCAGGTCAGGTTGCTGACATCACTCCACTTGACAAATGTTGGCTTTTTGACAAGTTTTATAGAGTCTCTTTTTGGATGTCAAGGACATTTAAATTTGACCTCATTTCCCAAGAGGACGAGTCCACGATTCCTTTTGATAGTCTAATTTTCCAAGTTATGTGTGCCCGGTGTGAATGCTGAACTGAACTGATATTCTAAATGT